TCTCGAATTCATCAGTATTTTCTGATTTTTTATTTTCGAAACAAAAACCTTTCCAACATAAAGATATGTTTACTTTTTCATTTTTGATAACTATATCTCGTTAAACTCAACTGATAATGAATGATGAATGAAATCTGCTATTATTAATGAAGCACCTTGATTTGCAAATATTCAATTTTTGAAATGAACCAATGCTTTTCGAGTTCAGCATATGTCTTTAATTAAAGAGAAAACTCTTCGATTGTACTTACTCCAATCTATGGACTTTTAAGTTTTTGCAAAAATAATCAATATTGTTGTAATTTGTAAGACGTAGATAAAAGTTCATTCAGTATTTATGACAATATTTACACATTTTTTTATTATTTTTGAATCAAAGAAAAGAATAAATTTGTTTAAATTTTTTGTTAAAAGTTGAAATATATATAAGTATAATTTATTTTGTTGTCACATAGTGAAGAAAGGCATAAAATATAAATGTGTGAAAAGAATATTTAAGAATAAAAGAAATGAAGAAATAATGAAATTTGTTTGTTTTTTTTGTTCTTTCTTTATAAATTTAATGTCGTTCATCTTGATTTTGAATTCCTTTTTTACTTCGAAGATTTGTTGTTGATTCAGATTTGTCTCGAATATTTTTCAACCATTGTCCATTAACAAATTCATAATCATGTGTTGGTGATACACTCAAAGAATGATTCGAATTTTTTTTATTAATTAAATGTTTATCATTATTTTCTATTGATTCTATTTGACTTTGTTTTTGTTGATTTGATGTATCATATTCAAAATTAGCATATTGTGTACGATCTTCATCTATTTGATCTTCATCATTAGCAATAATACCAAGTTTATTTGCAAACCAACGAAATTTATCAACAATTCCTTCTTTAATTAAATCAAAACACATTGCTAATATTGCTAAACCAAAAAGAATATAAAGTGAAGCAAGCAAAAAACGTAAACCGGATGTTGAACCTGATGTTATACCGGGTACCTTAAATAAATATATAAATAAAATAAAAAAATAAGCTGTTAGCGTAATCTTTGTAAGAGTAATATATAAAACATGACGTAGTTACTGTTGCTAATCACAGAATATTATTCAAAATATTAGGATGAGACTTTATTGATATACGGTCTGTGATGGTCTCAGACTAGCATTGGCCACATTCTGTAGAGGAGAACGAGAGGTGTTCGAATTTTTACTCTATATACTTCAACACCCTGTTTAGATCGTGTTGCACGAAAACAAAAGAAAATTTATTAAAATATTTTACGTACATAATCACCAAAGCCAATTGTAGCTAAAGTAATATAGCAAAAATAAACTGATTGTATCATTGTCCAACCTTCAAATTTATTAAACATAAATGCACCTAAACAAATATAACCAATAATAATTAAAATAACTGCTCCAAATGGTACACGACTTTCCATTCTACTCCATATATCATCTTTATAATCATCATCATCATCATTATTATCATTATCATTATCATAATTATTTTCATCATCATCATTTAATTTTCTATTAATATGACGATTTGCTTCTGGCCAACTTGGATCAATTGTTGCTGTACCAACATAATCATCTCCTTGAGGACTTTTTATTTTTCTATTATAAATTTGTTGAGTTTGACGACGACGATTACGTGTATAAGCTCGACAAACACAACAAAAACAATGAAGTAAACCCGAATACATAAAACGAAATATATCACCAAGTACAGAACTTATATTTGCTAAACAAAGAAGAAATATTGGTATACCAATTAATGCATAACAAATACATGTTATTTGTCCTTCCCTTTAGAAGAATAAATTACAATGAATTTTTTATTAGTATTTATTTATTTTTTTCTTACCATGATGTTGGTGTTACATGTCCAAAACCAATTGATGTTATAACAGTTATTGTAAAAAGTAATGCCGATGGAAAATTCCAATCAGATGCTGTTGTACAATCTTGTCCTTTATAACGTAATGCAGTTCGACGTTCATATATATCACTAGTAAAATTAACTAAATAATCAGTAATTTGTGCATACATTGTTGTTGTATTATCATTTTTTATAACAACATAATTATATATTGTTTCAGAAAGATTTGCTATTGAAATATTTTCACTTACTTTATATATAATTTAGAAAATATGTATAAAGAAGATTTCCAAAAAAAACAAAAAGAAAAGTACTTACAATATCCTTGTTGACAATTTTGTAATTCAATATATTGTTCGAGTAATATAAAAAGAAAAGCTCCACCAACACTATAAGCAACAGCAATAAGGACTAGACCAAGATTTGAAAAAAGAAATTGAATAAATGAACGATAAAATGATCGACGTCGAACATTATCTGTAGCTATAGGTGCAACAAGATTAGTTGTTCGATCAACTGCCATTTTATTTTAGAATAGGTGTTTTTCTTTTGTTTTTTATTGAAACAATGAAGTAATGAAGATGAGAAAATGATAAAGTGAGTTTTATAAATTGCTCAAGTAAAGTAAATGACTGCCAGTAAATGTCGAGAAAAGAAAGGAAATAAATAACATATAGTCAATTGAGTGAAAAAAGGAAAATGCAAGAAAGAAAAACTAATGGAAAAAGAAATAAAGTGACGTTAATGAATATTTTTTTTTTCTATTTAATGCAAATAGGAAGAGAATGTTCAAAAAGAAAGTCTGATAAATATTAATTATTATGGATTGTTTTCATAATACAGATAGATAAGGTAGAGTTTTTATTTTTATTTTAAACTTTAGATATCAATTCAATAAATCCTTCAATAGAACTCTTTTATTCTATATAACGTGATGACTTTTAGATTTTGTTGAAGTTTAATTTCTGTAGACATACTTTTTGAATTTTTTCTGTAGAAATTTTTAAATGCTTTTGTGTTAGTAAATTTTCTTTTTTTTTTCCTGTTCATTATTTTCATATTTTATTCTTTATCATCTCTACTTTTTTTGTTCACTTATTCATGTATATATATATAGCAGAAGAAGCAAAAGAAAACAAAAGCAAATATAAAAATGCTTGATGATAGTAATGATAATTGATAGAAGTTGTTAAATGAATTCTTTTCCTTGACATAAAAGACAAAAAAAAACAATTTCGTGTATTAAACGTTTCTTTTTTCGTTCTGATTTTAATACAGAGAAAAAAAAACCAACAAATAAAACACAAAACACAAGAATAGTGACCAGAAATAGTGGAGAAGTTCAAAGAATAAAATGGAAGAGAAAAAAAAAACAAACATGAAAACAATGCTTATTGTTGTTGTTGTAGTTTATGGTTAATCATTTTTTTTCTTGTTTAGAAAATTTCTATTTTGTTCTTGGTGTTTTTTAAACTGATGATTGACCAGCATCTTGATCATCGGTTTGATTTTCATTGTTATTCTAAAACAAAAAAAAAAAAGAATAAAATAAATTTTCAACAATACGACAAAAACCTATTGAAGAGTAAAAGATTAATGTCTAAAAAACAAACCTACACCACTATATGAGTCAGAACGATATCCTTGACGAGCTCCTCGGAAGAATCGCCCACGACCTCGACCACGGCCTCGAAATCCACTACGACCACGAAAACCTAAACAATAGAATAAATTATTTCTTTTAATCTTCAGCACTTCTTTTTTTTTTTAATAACATCCGAAGAAAATAAAAAACAACTTACCACCACCAAATGCTGGAACCATTGGACCTGACATATGACCCATAGGACCTCCCATCATTGGAGCACCAGGACCGCGAAAGATACGTGGTCCTCGGCCTTAAATGAAAAATAAAAAAATAAAAAAAAATATTTTATTATTTCAAAAAGTACTTGAATAATTTCCATCAAAATCATAGCCGCCACGAAACGGTGGTCGTCCACGACCTAAATCAAATAGAATACAATTTAGTCAAAAAAAAAAAAGAAGTAGTGACTAAACATTAACCATACCTCGGAACATTGGACCACCAAAATCACGTGATGGTCGTCCCATCATTTGTGGTGGACCATAATTACCAAATTGTTGACCAAAACCTGAATCAAAACCACCCGGACCTAAAATGTAGTTCGTGAGAATTTTTCTTCGTATATATATAAGTCAACATACCACCACGGAAAGGTCCTCCTCGACCACGAAAAGGTCCTCGGCTACGAAATGGAGGTCGATCTCCGTCACGTCCACCTCGAAAATTGCCTCGTGTATAATTTGATCTTACATCAGCTGCATATTTTGAACCTTGTACAGGAGCTCCATTAGGACCAGTTACATTTGCTTCTTCATGACCTTTTTTACTTAAATTGAAAAAAAAAAAAGGAGAAATTAATTTTTTTTTTCTTTATTCATCATACCTTGAACAATATCGAATTCGACTTTTTCTTCATCGCCAACACTACGTAAGTATTTTAGAGGATTGTTTCTAATAATAGCCGTTTGATGAATGAAAATATCTTCATTGATATCATCTCTAGAGAAAAAAAAATGAATGATTCAATTTTTTCCTATTGTAATTTTGATTATTTATTGACAAAAGAATAAAATAAAACAATACCGTTGTATAAAACCATAACCACTTTTAACATTAAACCATTTAACTTTACCAGTTACTTTTGTTGCTAAAAGATAAAATTATTTATAATCATATCTTGAATAAATAAATGATAATAAAATCAAAAAAAGAAAGTTCTTGAAAACATAATTATGTAATTACTATCGTTCGAAATTGTTTATCTTTTTTTTTTTTTGTGTATTTCATTTTTTTTCTATAAAATTACGTAATATGTTATAAAAAAAAAAGAAAAACTTACCAATAACAGGTTTGCCATTGATTTGTTTTGGAGAATCGGTGCCCGAATTGGCTTGATCTTGTTGTTTATTTTTATTGACATCAGATTTCTGATCCGATGCTTGATTCTGATTTGTTGCCACGTCAGTTGATGACATATTAACCTGACTAATTAATTGATTTGTTTATTTATTTATAAATAAAAAGCGCGTTGGTTCACGATAAAATGATGGTTTATTATATTCGTTCGTGCTGTTGCTGCGCTGGATGTTAAATTTTAGTTGAAAAACGCTCGGACGCGTATGATGGTGGTGGTGAATGGGCTTTTGCTGCTCTTATTCTAACGCATTTGAATGACGAATAATTCGTCCATTTTGTAGGCAGCAAAAACACGCGCCGAACGCAACAATAGAAAGTAAGAGAAAAGAGAGTGAATAAGAGAAAGAAAATCTTTTTTTTTTAACTTTCTTCTGCGCATACGAATCATTCTCGTTCTTAAGTTGTTCGCACGCATTCGTTACGTGACATACACATACACAAAAAAAAAAAACATAAGAGAGAAGAACATGATGATAGAGGGAGAGAGAAAGCAGTAACATATGCACATAGTAACCATGATTATAATACAAAGAGAACGATCTGGAATTATTGTGGCCTTGATACACAATAGTAATATTATACAAACATAATGTCCGTTGTCCAGGGAGTGAAAGTAAAAGAAAATATTCAATTTAAATATAGGTGCAAAGAGAAAAAAATACATACTATCGACATTTATTCATGTGTCTCATTGTTATTATATTATACCCAATCGAAATCGAATTCATTCGGTTGTATCTAGGTCCGTTGGCTATAGATTAGGTCAAAAGTATAGTTAAATATTTTTGAATGACAGATTTTATGAACTATCATATATAAAAAAAAGTTCTATGAAATAATAGAGAAAAAATTTTTATAAGTTGTGACTGATTATTTTATGATTTTTATTCAAATATTTACTTTGTCATAATTAAGATTTATATATGAAGAAAGAAAAAGAAAAAGAATAGTTTAAACAGCAATAAATTTATCGAATTCTTTTAATGTAGATAGTGCACCACGTACAAAATATGTAGCTATTGCTATTTGATATTCGATTTCTGTTTTAATATCACTTATAATTGCATCGCTGATAGCTGGAAAACCAGATGAAGCATATTGATTACTTTTAGGTGGTGCATAAATAATATGTCTTTAAATAATCACAAAAGAAAAAAACATGAGATAATTGGAAAATAATATTTCTATCTTTACTTCATTTCAGTATAATCTGAACCTTGTCCTAATGGATTAAGAAATGCTCGTTCTAATTGTAATAACTGATCGTTATATGTACGAATTTCATATGGACTGAAAAAGAAATCATTTATGATGTCACTTTTTTTTTCTTTTGAATAGTTAATATATTCATTATTTTACTTTTTAATATCCATTAATTTTGAACGTGCAACAAAATCTTCAGCAGTTTTACTAAAATCATTGATAGCATTTCGAAGTGGATCTAAGAGAATATTTTAGTTATTTTATAAGAATTTAATAATTAGTCTTTTATACCAAGATCTGTTGGATTGACTATTTTGAGACTGTTCATTGTTTCTGTAAGAGCTGATGTATATCGGCTAACATTCAATGGTAAAATAGGACTTTCCGAAAGAATAAGTGCTAAAACACCGGTAAATTGACCCATAGTTCTATGTGCCTAGATTTGTAAGAATAATAATAAATCAATAAATTTTAATATTGAATAGTTTACAAGAAAATCGGGATCAACAAATTTTTTCATCATTGAAAAAACTTCATAAGATGTATGATAGAGTGGATATGAACCTAAATTTTTATGATCAGCTGGATTAAATCTATAAGTTGCATCAAAATTTGATGAGCCAGCTAATTGATCAAAAGCAAAATAGTCACTTCCTGATCCAAGACCATGTCTTATTCTATACAACAGCAACAATTATGACAATTCGAAAAAAGATTTTTGTTTCTTTACTTTGGTTCATTAGTGACATTATTTCGATCAACTTTCATCCATTGTTCATAGACAGTTTGTTCAGCAGGATCATATGCACTAGGAACCTATAATTTGAATTAGAATAAGAAGAAAAATATAATGAAGATATTCACCATTTTTCCTGCTTCGACAATAGCATCAAATAACATTGGAGAAGCCTTGACATCAACCTTATAAAATCCTATTTAAATAAAACATATAGAAATTCATTGTCCAAGACAACAAAAGAAAAATACCATCAACAGCAATATCCAAGTTCAAGTAGGAAACAATACGAGCTCCCAATACTTTAACATACTCCTAATTAGTAATATATTATTATAACTTGGCAAATGACACATATAATTAAAGATAACATATACCTCAACATATTCTACCGATCCAATGAGTCCATATTCTTCAGCACCCCATGAACAAAACATTAAACTACGTCGCGGTCGAAAACCTTTTCAAAGTAAACGTCTATTTTAGTATCACTTAGATCTCAAGCATCAAGAATTACCATTTTTATACATTTCACCAAGTGCTCGGGTTATCTCTAAAAGAGTAGCTGTTCCACTCGTTGGATCAAGAGAACCTAAACTCCAAGCATCTCTAAAAGTATAAAAATGATCATCACAAATATATAATGTTTAGGTTTTATAAAATTGTTTTAGCTGATATGTACAATAGAAAAAGAAAGCAGATTTTGCACGTATACAAAATTCTCAAATAACTATTCCACTAAAATCAACAGCAGATGATGTAAAATGATTTATTGTTTTTGTACTCATTTAAAATGTAATCTTTATATGAACTCATTCTACACTATAAACATAATCCTGAAAAACGAAGTAGATCCGAGCAAGAATTATTCTCCTGACAATATTTTACAAATCGCTTAACTATTATATTCATGATAATCATATTTAACTTACCGATGATTACCAATTACAACATAACGATCTAAAGATACAAGAAAATTCCCTATTTCATTGGTATCTAAGATCAAAATAATTATACCTGGCTCGATTTCACCTTTCATTATTCCAACCACATTATAAGTATCTTTTCTTTCAAGTCGATTGTGCGTTTTTACTTCGATTGTACTATTCAAAACAAACATTTACTTGTTATAGGGTATTGAAATCAACTTATCTTACGATGCATTACGAAGTTCTCCACCATAACGATATGTT